GGGTGGGGCAGGACCAGAAAAGAAAAAAAACAAACTTCCAAGGATTGCTTTTACTTAAATTGAGTTGATTTACAGTTGGGCTGACCAAAGCCTAAAGGTCTAGGCCAATTCTCTACACACCCTCAATAGTCAGCAGAGGCAAAAAGCACTGCCAAATAGCAGTTTTTTTCCAGTGCTTTAGATACCTCTCATGTTGGGATGAGCTGCTCTCTGGAAGCATCTACCTTTCTCCAATGAACTGAGATCACAAGTTTAGACTAGATGCTTAACTGTAGGCAGCCAAATATAGCTGAGATAAATCCCATCCTCAAGTGGTTCTAGTTAACTGGGTGAACTGGCAAGATGAGAAAAGTTTCATGACATTTTTAGGGGGAAAATATTTGTAAAAACAGCCAAGGATTTTAATAGTAAAGGTTAACATGCTAGTCTACTACACCAGCATGTGCCTTGCACCCCTCACCCCCATTCTGGCATGAGCTATACAGGCAGCTTCTGGTTGCATCTTTGAATTTCCCAGCATTTACTGGTCTGTCACCACTTTAAACATAATTTGTGGCCTTTTCCAATACTCATCTTCCTTGGTTCCCAAGAAATGTCTGACCTATTTATGGTCCATTGTTACAGAGAGCTGGGGAGAGTTAAGCAAGTTTCCTGGTTTGTTCTCTACAATCAGTTTGGTTTTCCTTTGTGCTCTGAAGTAAATAAGTTTAACTGTGTTTAAAACCACAAATATACAATAATGTCACCCACACATTCCCAAAGGGTGAACATTATGTCTGAAGTCCTATGGTTTAGGATACTCAGGATATATTTTACTCCTCTCTTCTCTAGAACTAAAGCTTGGGAGGTATACCAGAAGAATACGTGCCTTTCCCTTTTGCTTTTTCTCCTTAGCATCTGCCACTGACCACTGTCAGGGATATAATGCTGAGCTAGAAGGACCTTTGTTCTGGGTCAGCCTTCAGTCCTCATGCACACAGAAAGGAACTGGCAAGCTTGGTTACATACCAGTAGTCCCCTATATTGTTGTCATACTAAGAAATTGTCTTTAAGGGACAAACAATGTCACTGCACTTCAAAACCTGTCCTCTGAACCTCACCTTTGGTCTTGAACTGATTCCCTAGTGCTGTCAGGATCTGCGTTATGGACCAGGACCAGCTCTCCAAATTGCCCTAACTAGGTTTTGCAATCGGAGTGACCCAATGGGTGCTGCACGGGTCTGGGTACTCCAGGCCCACCCACGGCAAGACCGAATCTGCCCGACTTCAATAACACCAGGATTATGGGATGTTTTCCTGTCTACACTGTCAACCTGTGGCCTGACCTTGGGAATCAACTCCACCTTTTCCTACAATGTTTTCTCCTCTCACACTGATATAGCCTGCACCTTCTTTTTCAAGGCACAGTCTGTCTCATATTTTCACGTAAAACATCTGGAAAAGGTGAGCTATTGGCATTAAGGGATATTAAAAGTAAAGACACCATTTGTGGAAGCCTCTGAGCCCCAAACTGTTGAAGTCTGGTAGAGTGTTCTGGGGAAGCATCACTACATGCTCACCGTGTTGTTTTTATAGACATCTGTCACTGGCCAGCACCAAACACAAGATACTGAGCTAGAGGAACTTCCATGCCTGACCCCATATGGCCATTTCTGTGTTCTAACCTCAGGTGGGAACTCTTGGTGCATTAACAGGCATCATAACAACCGTACCAATGACATGCCAAGAACTAAGAATTTGTATGTGAGTTACGTGCATTTCTAAACACATTCTTAAAATGTAAATCTTGAGCAAGGCATTAACCTGTGATTTGGAGATGAACCCACCAGCCAAAATCCCAGATCCAGCTTCCTCTTCCATTCCAGCATTTGGCTAACTGAGATCTGGAGCTGGGCATAAAACTAGTAACTGGTCCCTTTCTCCCAAGGGATTTTCAAGTGAATTGGTCTGATACTTGGCAACTGCACTAGCTGTTTGATATAAACTCGTACATGTCAGCTGGGACATGCTGTGGACTGCATGAGTTAGATACCTGAGTTAGAGACCTTCAGAATGGAGGGAGGTGCGTGTCCTTCAAAATCCAAAACACATTTGGTTTGAGTGTGTACAACAAGCCTCTTTCTGTGGTTTGCTAATATATTCTAGACATTCTTGTGTGATAGAGCATCATTTCACACTCTTCAGAGTGCCAGGTTACTTTCTTTTTTTAAAAGTGACATTTTATAAGGAGATGTCATTAATCTGAGTCACTAGTTTATTTTTGCATGCTTGAGCTCTGGTTTGTGGTTAGGGAAATGATGACAATCAGTCATAAATTTAACTTGGACTCCATGTGAAGAGGACCATTAGGACAGGAATGAAGAAAAATCCCACCAACTGAAGGTAATTACAGCTTTCAGTGAGATCAGGACCCTAAAGATACCTATATTTTTAAAAATGACCAGTGACTTTGCATGCCTCAATTCTGGGCATCCAGATGCTGCTTAACAAGCCTTGGTTTTCAAAAAGAGAGTGCCTACTCATTTTTTAAAAATGAGTCAGACCTCCAAAATAAGCACTCAAAAAGAGAGGCTTCCAAAATAAATAATAAATATAAAAAGCAAAATAAAAAACTGTGTCACAGAATTTGATTCAGCAGCATTAAAAAAACCCAAAAATGCCAAACCAAAAAATCATCCTCTGTTTTTGTGCTGTACAAAGGTAAAAGAACTGATGTTTCAGTGCTTCATCTTTTCTTAATATAAAAGAAAAAGGAGTTGTTTCCAGCTGACTCTGTACAGCTGGAGGAATGTTCTTGGCAGGCAAATGTTTGAAGAAATAGTTCATTTTAAGCAAATATTGTGGAATATTTATAAGAAACTAATTTTGTCTTCACAATCGTGTATTTGCCCTGAAACTCGACTCTCAGAGTTTCAGCCCCCCAATAAGAGAGAAACAACAGGGGATTTTTATCACCAGCTCAGATTTTGAATATTTGCAACACACACAGACCCAGAATGCCGGGTAGAAACCTGCAAATAACAACTCCGTCTGTTTGTGGACTGGACGAACAGAAAGGCAGAGTCTATCTGGCAAATAAACTATTTGCTGGGAGTTGTCTGTCCAGATTCAGCATGTGCACATGATATACCAGTGCCGTTTGTTTGCTGGTTATGAAAGTCCCTTGAAAAAAGACATTAGATGGCTCATTTTGCTGTATTCTGAAAATATCAAGGGCTTTTAAAGTCATTTTTATAAAGTAATATGGAAGTTAAGGATTAATTGAACCTACTGGCTTAGGGTATCTGCATTTCTGCACAAAATAAATGAGACAAATTAAGTTTTTATTTAGTTCTCCCTGGCTGAGAAAGGTTGTAATTATGTTAGAGTGTTTACAGCTAAAATATATGTTTAAATAATAAATATATGTTGCAGAAACCATTTTAAACCTCCTTTTTTAACACAGTCAACTCCATTTCAAGCATATAAATATTTCAATTACAAAACTTGAATACATGTAAAATAAATTAAAAATATATTATTTACATTTCAAATTATTTATAACATATGCTGCTTGACAGCAACAAATTCACCCTTAAAATGAACAATATTTTTTTTTGCTTCTGAACTGTGGTAGGATTTATATTTTAAATATCCATGCATCTCAGGTACTTACATGGATTTTGCTATAATAAAATCTGAGTAATATAGGACCTTTACGATAATTATCTTCACAGCACCTCTCCAAAGAAGGTGACTAATCTTATTACTATGGTAGAGAAAGGGAATTGAACTTTAAGCAGATTATGTGATTTGCCCAAGGTCCCATGCAAAGTCTGTAGCAAAATGATGCTTAATTTAAATATTACAATTCATTCCCCGAACCACCTGCAATTACAACTGAAAGTGAAGCTAGAAAAATCCATGTGAAAATGCTCTGCAAAACTCACTCCTTTTCTTTAGTTTCCACCTATCTAGCTTTGTTTTGGATTTTATACAGCTCAGTTAAAATCATGTTTTCTTTGGATCCATGAAACAACGGGATGAACTGGAAAATTCTTCTTGACTTCAATGGCAAAATAAACTGGCCAGGTTTGCTCAAAACTGGGCCTGGCTGGCAACTCAGGATGAACCTGCTCCAGGTTTGAAGATCGACAGTTCAATTCTAGAAGGATTCTTGCTGGGTACTGAAAACGCACTAGACATTTTTAGAAACAGGAAGGCAAATGAAAGAACTTATTTTGTACTTCATATGTAGCTAGTATGTGCAATTTGAATTATTTATAGATCACTATTATTTAGGGATCGCTCAGACAGCTCATGCATTTCTGCACTTGTTTATCATGTCTGTCCGCTTCTTTTAGAAATCATTTATTTTCCCCTATAGGATTTTCTATTGCTCTCATAGGTTATGAAACGGAGAAGCAATTCTGTAAGGGACAGACAGTGAAACAGTTTTCACTTAAAGCCAACTTGCAGCCCGTTACAGCATTCACGACAAACAGACTGACTTTGGTCTGGACCCGCTCTAACATTATTAATTTTATGACAAGGCCTTGCAACCATCAGCAACAATGTTTTGACCAGCACTTGCTCTCCTGAGATTAGAAATTGCCAATTAATGGCTTCTACTAATAAATAGTATCAAGTTTTATAATGAAAGATCCAATTCTGCAGTACCAAAATCGGAGCACTTTCCTCCCAGCCTCTTCACCTTTCCCTGTTAAACGTCTGTAGCCATAATGGCTTCAATCCTAACACACAAAATGCTTACACTGGACCCAGGGGGCACTTTCATGATCACATAAGGGCTTCAGAATAGGGCTCATTTAATATATCTCCTTTTCTGGAATGCCCTTTCATCCACACTTGTCCTCAAGTGAAAGAGAGAGAGAGAGAGAGAGAGAATAGTGAAGCCCATGAAGGACATTAGAGGATACTCTTCATATGGAAAAAATGCTGCCATATGTGCAATGGAATCAGTAGGGGGAATGTGCTGGATATGAATTAAGCTATAATGTTGATTTAATATTTATAGGATATAAGGCAAAGCATCGGAAGATCCTTACATCACTGGGTAAGCACTGTATAGCTATTTCGGAGATGCTGGTTTGTCTGTTAGCGTGTTTATTTCAGTTTTAAAATCATGAAAATAACGATTTTTTATAAAACCTCCAAAATGCTTTTGAAAAGTCATAAAAGCAAAACGTAAACCGTTCCTTGGAGCTGCCTTCCCATGCCAGTGAAGCCAGTGGGAACTCTGCCCTGACTTCTACGGCCCTGCGCACTGGAAGTGGCCGTTTGGGTGACGCTCCCTGGGTTTTAACTTTCCATGGGCTTTGGGGGAATATCAGACTCCACGTTTAATTAAGTGCCAGGAGAAGAGAGGATTTGAGAAACTGGGAGGAACAGCAACAGCAAAAAATGGTTAAGAAACAAAAAAAGGGTTACTGTGAAACTACAGAGGCCCCCGCTGGGCATGAGGAGTCTGTATTTTCCACTGTGGATACAATACTGTGTATGTGGCTGCTATTACGCGGATGGTACTTACACCAAGCACCTACACTTTTAAGGATATGCTATTCAGAGGTGCTGAATTTCTGCAATCTCCACCTTATTGAGCTGCAGCTACAAGCAGCCAGTTTCCCTGGAAAGCAGGATCACCTAAACGTTTGTTTCCTGTGAGCCCTTAGCGATTGTAGTGCTAAATGCAGAATTATTCACACAGGCATTTATCCCTCCCTTTTCCTGGAATAAAAGGCACTGAGCTAAATGCTAGGCCAGTGAGAAGAGATGCAAATCCCCTGGCTATAATGGATTTCTGCCACAGGTAAACTTGACTAATTATTTTCATAAAACTGAATGAGGAAAGGATTCACATCTCAACATTTGTTGCTGATTTAGCATGTGGCATAGAAAAAGGACAGGCTAGCTATAAGCTAGACAAAGCTATTAGACATTACCGTTCAGACAACACCTACCTCACTCCAAACCAGCATGGTGCCGAATATGACCTGTAACCCATCAAAGAAATTGTCTCCTATGATGATGACAGTGGCACCTCCTGTAGTCCATCCTTCACTTGGACTGATGGCTTTGATACATGGTGTAGCTGCTTTTCAACACACATGAAAAAGAGAAGTATTCTGCTGTTAGAACGAGATTTTAATGATAGAAGACTTGAGAAAAATAAAATAAAAGGAGCTTTCATTTTCCCCCCTTACTAACACAAAGATTTCAGCAATCATGTTCTTTCTAGTACATGTGCATGACCTCAAACTATGTCTTTGGAAGCATTTTTTCTCAATTAATTTCTGTTTGGTTTTGTTATCTGCATTGAAAAAATTAACTTTTTTAAGCCTACATTAACAAAAAAATCACAACATGATAGGCAGAGACCAATTGGAAATCAGGACAAATCCCTATCTTTATTCTATATGAAATGCACAGTACCTGAGTTAATAAAACAATCTCCAGTGAGCTTGCTTTATTATCCATCATAACCTAAATTCATCAACGAAACTCCTATAAATATTATGGAAAATATTGGCTAAATAGAAAAGTGTGTAGCCCTCAGCATTTCTTTAACTATTCTGCAATCAGATCCAGGTTGTTCTAGTATTAAACCACCCTGCCCTGCT